GGTAATCTGGGATGGTGATTACATGCAGTTTTTAATTAAACCAAGGAGTCAAACCCCCTCAATAAGTCAGTTGTCAGTTTGCTTGACTCTGGTGTGGAGCTCTACTTTAGGTTCCCTTCTCATTCCTCTCACCTCATTGGCATTTCAAATGGGGGAAGGGCCCTGACAGCCCCATCCCACCCAATCACAACGACCTTTGGAAGGAGGAGTGCTTTCTCTCCTTTACCCCCTTGTTTGAAAAGAAGGTTGAGACCATTTGGAAGAGCGACAGCATCCTTAGTCTAGAACAGTGGTCGCCAACCGGTGGTCCACGAGGTCTGAAAGGTTGGCGACCGCTGGTCTAGAAGACATCTTCGTGAGTCATTTGATCGCGCCCTTCCCCTAGCTCCTTTCCAAGAAATGGTGTCACTCACCACGTGTCTTCTTTCTGTTCCTGCAGGATTGAAGCCATTACAAGCTCAGGACAGATGGGTTCCTTCATACGCCTCAAGCAGTTCTTGGAGGTGAGATGCCCTGAACCCACACATCCCAAACCGTTGTTGGCCTTGAATGAGCCTATGCCTGACCGGTCTTGGGCCTCCAGGCTCTCTGATTACAGTCTCTTCCTCTTGGTTTTTCCAAACTCTACTTGTTTGTCCATAATTTCCCCAGAGCCTTAAAGACTGCCATTTCTCCTTCCTACATGTCATTGTCCATGCTGCCCAGGGGGAAGCTACCCTAAGAGATGAATAAAACCTGTCTAACGAGTCTTGTCTCACCAGTACATTTTGGCATGTTGGCCAAGGTTCTTTTCTTTAAAAAATTTTTATTTTATTTTAGAGAGGAAGGGAGAGGAAGAGAGAGAGAGAAACATCAATGATGAGAGAGAATCAGAGAGAATCATTGATTGGCTGCCTCCTGCACACCCCTGACTCCAGCCGAAACCTGGGCCTGTGCCCTGACCAGGAATTGAACTGTGACCTCCTGGTTCATAGGCCGATGCTCAACCACTGAGCCACACCAGTCGGGCCCAGATTGAGGTCAGGGGAGATGGTGAGTGTGCTGCTCACTTTTCTCCGCAAGAACAGACTGAACTTTCAGCCAGACTCCTCTTATATTTCTAAGTGCCAACATTTCTAAGCAGGTAATATTGACAGATAACTTAGAACTCCGGTAGGTCTGCCAACACAGCCTGCTACCTTCCAGGTTCCAGGAGCCCCGTTGGGAAACCAGCGATATCGAAAGATGGGCCAGGCCATGGGAGACGAGAGGGACAGGCAGAATAATCGCATAGCGTTTGTCCTGGGCGGCACTTCATTCAGAAGCGGAAGTCTTCTACACAACCGCAGTCCTGTGCCTTTTCCTTTGAGCTCCGTCCTGTGGGACCTGAGCTTCCTGTCCTCAGAGCTCCTTCTAGTTGTTACGTGTTGGAAGCAGTGTTATCAGAAAGTCATTCTGTTTTCTTCATCTTTCCCTGACCAGAAATGTTTGCAGCGCAAGGAGATTCCTGTCCCCAAGGGCTTTCTGACTTCCTCCTTCTGGCGTTCCTGATGTCACTCCGTCACCCACCGTCACCGTTCTGTTGCAGAGGCGCAATAATAAAGCAACTGAACAGAGCTGTGTTTGAGAGAGCACTGTCAGATTTAGAAACCTACCAATATGTATTTTTATATATTTATGCCTTGTGACTAGGGAAGGTTTTCATGGGCCACTGGTGACTCCTCAAGGATCCACATGACAGGAGAAATGGATTTGGCCTTCTCACTTCTGCAAACATTTTGAGGTGTTTAGCACTTGATGCCACTGTTTTATTACCTTTCTGTCTCGAATCTTTCAGAAAGTAGGTAGTACCTAAGCATTTCGCTCTGAGCTGAAGTGAGCCCACCACTTCCAAGAGTCCTGTAGTAGTTGAGGCCCGAATCCTTACATATGAGTCTGAGTTGTGGTTGCTTTGCCTTTCTCGGCTTGTGAAGTAATTAGAAATTCAGAGGAAATGCCTGATGTAGGGATGGACTTTGTCCTAAATGGCATCGCGGACAGCCTAGTGTCTAGATTAGGCCCTGCCACGTGTTGTATTGAACCAAGAAGCACTGTTTGCCCTCTCGATTGGAATCCAGTGCCTGGGTGACAAGGGATGCGTGAGCCAGGGCAGGCGCCTTCTGTGTGTGTCTGGTTTTCAGTTTGAATGAAGATGGACCGAGATGGAGCTGGCCACAGTATGCATGAGCTGAGCATCCACAAGCAATGACGGGGGTTAAACAGAGATGTTAGGAATTGAGAACTGCTTTATTTATTTATTCTCTCGATTGGAATCCAGTGCCTGGGTGACAAGGGATGCGTGAGCCAGGGCAGGCGCCTTCTGTGTGTGTCTGGTTTTCAGTTTGAATGAAGATGGACCGAGATGGAGCTGGCCACAGTATGCATGAGCTGAGCATCCACAAGCAATGACGGGGGTTAAACAGAGATGTTAGGAATTGAGAACTGCTTTATTTTTTATTTTTTTTTGCTTGTTCTGACTAATGAATGATGATAAATTTGCCTGACTAAACCCACTACAAAAACCCAAAGCCTGGCTTTTCAGATAAGAGTCGAGATTTGAAAGATTTACTGCCTTTTGTTCTGCAGAGGCAGCGGCCACCATCTCTTCCTCCTTAAATGTCATGTGTGGGGAATGGGGTGTTTTGAGGAGATTCCCTGGTACTGTTGAAGTGACCTGCTCTATGAATTGTTTACTATGGTGCCAAAAAATAAGTAATAAAACTTGAATTTTAAAAATCCATTGCTGGTATCTAGTTGGTTCAATATGATCACCTTCCTGTGCCTGGAGCTGTTCGATCACTGGGGTGTGGAAGTGCCAAGTCTAGGTACAGAGAAGCATACATTTTTCCCTTCTTTGCCTTCTTGACCTTTACCTTGGGAAAATGCCCTTTTTTAAAAATTATATAGCAGTACCTGATCCTGTTTTATCCAGCAGAAATGGGAAAATTAAAGATTTGCAACGTGGACACAATGGAATAAACAGTGGGAGACTTGGGCTCCATTCACTTTTAGGTTTTGTGGCCTTGGTAGGTCCCTCACCCTCTCTGAACCTCACGTCCCCCACCTGCAAAACACAAGTGGACTCGTCAGTACATCAGTAGGTTTCAAATTGTGTTCCTCAGCAGAGTCTCAGCAGTGCTTCCCAGCCTGGGTGTCAGGGCCACTGACCTCAGCCGCCTGCAGCCCCAGGGCCAGGTGCCCTTTGCACTTCCTCTCTTTACCTGAACGTTACAATTAGCAGCATCTTCTAAGCATCAGGGCAGGGAACAGGTTGGGAAGCACGGATTGCAGGGTATTGCGTGGATGGAGCTCGGCCCTGTGGTCAGCACATGGAGGCTTTTATGCAAAGTTTCAAAGGGCGTCCCTTTCTTTAAGATACCACTGCCGTCTGCGGGAAATTGTCCTGTTCATAACAAAATCTGTGACACTGGCCGGCGAACGGTGCCAGCTGGAGTTCTTCATGCAGCTCACAGTTAGCACCTCTGAGTGGGGCCCTAATGGAGCTCCGGGTTCCTCTCTGCCACAGCCTTTTTGCCTTCTGTGCTAGATGTGCTGGGGTTCTCTGCAAGGCTACGTGTGGGAAAGTTCCTCTACCAAACATGAAATGTGAAAAAGCAGTGGACAACCTGATCCCCAAGGTCTCTGCTACTTTGAATTTGCTCCACTCCAGAGAGAACACTTCTGATATTTGAGTGTTCTGCCTCTAGACGTGTTTAACTACATCTTGCACATGTCATTCAATGCTTGGTATTCCTAATGGGTTCTTGATGGAAAACCAAGAAGAGGGCATTTGGGAGGACAGGTTTTTGATACTCCCTGGTGGTGTCACCTTCAGAGATAGTGACTGCCAATAGACGCAACTCCTGATGGGTAGTAGCATCAGATTCCTTGGAGTAGAATACTGAGGACTGCATTCTGTTGTTAAATTCAAGTACTCACTTGCCTGCTTGCTTCCTTTCAGGCTTGACCTCATTTCTCAGGCAGAGTGCCCATGTTGTTGGCATATCATTGTCCTACATCATTTTAAAGCAAATGTGATGATGAACTGAAAATTCAAAACCCTACACATCCCTGAAATAGAGGAATGGAATTCTGGGCATTTTCACCCAGGCACTGAGAGCTTCCCCCCACTTCTCAAGCTTCCTCTGAAGATAGCAGCGACATAATGAAGTTTGGGTGTCTTCTATCTCAGTGCTGGGACACCCCAAAGAGCCCCAGAGCTTCACACGGGTGCCTTATCAGGCCTGCAAATTCATCCTTTTGTCTGTTCCACCTAATGAACTTCTGATACTGATTTCTTGTAGTCTTCAGGCCGTGTACTGAATTTACAAAAACACCAATTTTAAAGGAATTTATCCTCTAGGTTACAGCCAGGCTTCCTTTCTAAAAAGAAACAATTACTTTATACAGATGACGTATTCAAGAAGCATTTTTTTCTTAGCTCCTTCAGGACAATTACACTAAATGTACTATGCGATCCTGGACCAGAAAAAAATATCTTCTTGTGTGTTTGTCCTATAAAGGACATTGGGACAATGGCAAAACTTGAATAAGGTCTATATATGTTAGGTAATAATATTATGTCAACATGAACTTCCTGACTTCTATTATCGTATTCTGCTTATAAAAATGAATGTTTTTGTTCTTCAGAAATAAACATGAAGTACTTGAGGTAAGTGGGCATGATATCTGCAACTTATTCTCAAATCATTTGGGGCAGGAGGTGAATAAATGCCTAGGCACATTGTGTGTGTGTGTGTGTGCGCGCGCGTGCGCGTGTGTACATGTAAGTATGTAATGCATAGAATAATAAAGTACATGTGGTCAAATGTTAACAAATTGGGGAATCTGGGTGTAGGGAATGAAATTTCATGTTATTTCTGTAACTTTTCTGTAAATGTGAAATTACTTCAAAGTTTAAAGAGAATCTTCCCGCCAAAACAGAGGAAAACCCGGCTGACAGTCTAATGAGGTGACAAAGTCCAGCTCTGGGATCCACAGTGAAGGTTACCTTGAAGCTATCATCACCCCGTGGAGCGTTGACTGCAAACAGGTTTTACAAGGTGCTTCCTATGTAAAGTGAATGGAATGTTAAGTCAATGGAGACTGATTTCTGGACTTTTAGGGCTCAATGGTTTGAGCTAAAAGTGTTGGGAGCTCAGAAGACAGATCCGTTTCACTTAGGGCAGCTTTTCCCAGAGAATTTTTCTGCAGGATCCTAAAAAAGAGTTCAGTGGTCAAAGAAGTTTGGGAACTATGTACTGTGTTCAAGGTCAACGAGGTGAAGTAATAGATGAAATAAGAAGGGCAGAGTTAATAATTGTTGAAGGTGGTGATGGGCATATGGAGGTTCATTGTACTGTTGTTATAAATCTTCCACAATAAAATGTTTTCATTCTAAATAAAAGGAAAAAGTACTTTTTTCTTGCAAGATTTTTTGGTGCCTTAACTGTTGCTTTGAATTGTTAACCACCAAGAGTTTGCAGTGTTACTGCACATGAAACTCCTATTCCCATAGCTTCTCTTGGGCCTAGTATTTCTGGGAATACACTTTTTGAACTGCTTTACTTGGAGGGTATGGTGGGCGAGAAAGTATCTTGAAGAGAGTATTTGATCCAGATACTTAAAAATATTCAAAAAATTTAAAAGGACAAAAAAGTCCAAAAATCCTTTTATTCTAGGACTCTCTGTGAACATCTCTTTGCACACCCGCAAATACACAGATATACGAATACAGCTCTTGCGTCGACCCAGTTCCCATGTTGTTCTATCACCTGCTATCTTTCAGTGGTATGTATCTCAAATAGTTTTCAAGTCAATCAATATGAACCGTATCACCAATATAGTCTTGAACTTAAGAATCAGAATGAACCATTTTTCAGTTGGTGACCAGTTGCTAAATTTTTTAATA